TGTAATTTCTGCACCCGATCAACCACAGTATCTAAATTAATAGCAGGAAGAGAAGAAGTATGGGAGGTAGAAGCCCTAGAAGTAGAAGGAACATTAGAAGACCTAGCTCCAGTTCTTCGTATAGCATGTAATCCATATAGTTCCACATTAGTCTATCCAATGGGCTTTAGTGGCTGCAATAGCTCTTCTCATTTCTCATAACTTACTTCTGATTGTTAGCATAAAGTAAAAATGAGGAAAGGGTATCTGAGGCCTCCTATAGTTCCTTCTTTCACTTTAGAAGAAGTGATAATATTTTTGTAAATAAGAGAGCCAATGTCTATAGGTTTCATCCTCTGAATGCAAAATTTTAAAGTATCTCTCTCCCTAGTCACTTAACTGGTTTGTAGGAAGAAGGCGAGCGGAGATGAAATAGTGTCAGACCTTTGATTGTGCATTCAACTGAGAAGAAGAAAAATTTACCTTGTGCTATCTTCCAAGCATTCAACTGAGAAGAAGAAAAATTTACCTTGTGCTCATTTTTTATCTTCCAAACTGCCCTTCTATCAGTCAAAAATGTTATAATCTCATCGAGTTCCAACTCAGTAGGATTAAAATCAGAATAATAATAGTTAGAAACATCCAACAACAATTATAAACAGTTGATACACTTCAAAAGTGAAGTAGAAATGTTTCTCTCTGGCTATTATAGATTCATAAGAAATTTTGGGGAGGTTAGCATAAAATTCATGCACCACTAAAATAACTGTTATAGTAGTAAAATAGCAGAAAATTTCCTAGTGTCATGCCTCTATCAAATTTTCCAAAGCTCCTCCCGGTCCGGCAAAGCTTCATTTTGCAATCAACTTCTTCATCATGAGAACATCATTATAACAATTCTGTGCTTTGAGGCTAACGAATTTCTTGTGATCAAAATTTTCCTTTCCTTTCCCCCTCTTGGTTTTAGAAACCATGTGAAATCTAACAAAATTGAATGAAAATCCAAATAAATTCCAAATACATATTCTAGAAGCTCCTACATGCCTTTTTCAAACTAAGAAGCTCTTTTCCATGGATTTTCTACTAATTTTCTCAAAAAATCCTGATTTTTCAGAATTTTCATAATGTGGAAGAAATCCATGGTGAAATGAGAAAATTTTGATGACAAAGTGTAGATCTTACCTAAAGAAGAAGAAATATGGAATATTTTAGTCATAAAAATTCCAAAATTGTGATCTATATGAAGCCCTAGGGACCTCTTGTGATGGGTTAGGGAGGAAAGTGAGGAAGAAGATGATTCCTGCTTTGAAAATGGTGTGAACCGGCGGTTTTCACGATAAAATGGTTGTTCAACCGGTTCAGCCTCTACGCGCTAAATTTTGGTGCTTAGGCGCCCTGTTCTCGGGTTATCTGGTGCTTAGACGTTAGGTTTTGGCGTCTAGGCGCCAGTGCCACATTTTTGTAAATTTTGATTTTTTAAATAAAAGCATAGCAAACCTAAGGCCTCTGAACCCTAATTTACTTAATTCAACATCATTTTGATAATTCTAACTTCTTTTGAACTTCTCTTAACTTTCATTTGCACACTCACACAATTCCTAAATATGAACAATCCAACCAATTCAAGCACACTAACACCAAATATCAAACTCACAAACATA